AAGTTGATACGATTTTATTTTTTTAATAAATTCATATTTTTATTCCATAAGAATGCATTAAATTGATCAAAAGTGAGGGTAAACAAAGAGATTTATAACGTTACAAAAAAATATCAAATTATCAAATACATTTTCTTTTGAACTTCTGCTTATCAAAGAATCCTGAAAAAATGTATCACAGCTTCCACAAAAATATTAAGCAACTGTTTTGTTAATAATATGAAAAGTTTCTTGAGCAGCAAATCAGCATATTAGAAGGATTTCTGAACGATCATGTGACACTGAAGACTGCAGTAATGATGCTGAAAATTCAGCTTTGCATCAGGAATACATTACATTTGAAAATTGTTAATAAACTATTACAGTTTATTTAAAACTGTAATAATATTTCAGAATATTACTGCTTACCCCAAACTTTTGAATGGTAGTGTAATTTATAAAACACCCAATTTAACACTGATTTAACACGCACATTGCACAATATTCTGAAAATTATGTTTAAGTTATTATATTTTGTTCTGTATGCATTCTACCATACGCTTAGCCTAACTTTAATAAATAGTTTCTTAGAATGAGTGTTTTTCAGCTCTTTGCCTCATAAATCTCTTACTCGTCTATACACACATAAACCAAACACTGCACACTGCTTCTCAACTGTGTTTTATATCATATTTATTCAGTTTGAAATAAGGCAAAGTGTCTATTCCTATCTGCAGGAATAGCATATTATTATTAAATAGCATATAATCTATCTGCAGCATGCATATTATTTTGACATTTATAAGTTAGATTTTTGGTTTCAAGATGCATGCAAAATGATCTCATATTTCATTCATTAAATCAATGTCTAATTTTGAGGTTATATTAATGTGTTTTGTGGGCCACTTGTAATATAGTTCATATTAAACTGCCTAGTCTAGTCTTACGAGTTAGTCATCTATTATTATTTTTTCTTTTTCTTCTTCAGAACTGTTCATACCTTTAAGTCAGTTACAAAAAAAATTAGATTAGTCTAATTTGAATCCGATAAGTAAGGCTGATCACTAGTTCTTAAGACAAGACACAGTCTCAACATGGGGGTTCTGTTGTTTATGCAACTGGTCCATTGTAAAGATGGTACAATCTGTGAGGTTTCATAAAAAATACCTCATTATTACTTTCTATCGCTTTCACCTATAGTGTTCCCCCTGAAAGTTACAAAAAGCCTGGAAATGTACGTGATATATCCACCTGTTTGACGGTGCCGTGTTTCTTTAGCACTTGGTTTTGAAGTGGACGGAACAGCGTCCTCCTGATCAGCAGCTTCTTCATATTCTGACACATCTCCCTTCTGCTCCTGAAACACAACATGAGTCACATGCTACTCCATAGTACTTCAACAATACCATGGTGCATGTCCAAATCACATTCCAAAATAACTGCTTAGTGGACATACAGTATACATGCGCTATAATAGAGACACGCATTACATACATTCATATAGATGCTAGAAGAAAAGCGGAATATTATTACCTTATCCTTTGCTTTTCTTTCCTCTCTCCGCCTTTCAAACTCCTCGAAAGTTATCTTTCCTTCTAAATAGTCGTTCAATTCGGACATTGTAGAAAAATAACTTAAGTTTACTGCTTCATGTCACATACAGTATAAACATTACACTGGTGCACTGCATGAGCACTGTTGCACGCTTCCTGCGTTTCTGCCTTCAGCCAATCAGAGAGCTCAAATTCTTCTTCGACGGTAAACGAAACACAACCACAGGTGAAGCCATTCCAAAAGACCCACATCGCCATCAAGCGTCAAAGGAATATAGCGCAATTCAAATTTATCGTGGTACACACTGGGGAAGATAATAACATATATTTTTTCATAAAATATTTTTTTTGTTAATGGAAATATATCATCCTTAGCATTTTTGCTGTTCGTACTACCACAATTGAGGTTTTGTACATTGTTCTTGGTTGTATAATATTTAGTAACAAAGCATATATATAAGTGCTGTCAAACGACTAATCGCGATTAATCGCATCCAAAATAAAAGTTTTTGTTTACACAATATATGTTTGTGTACTGTGCACATTTATTATGTATATATAAAAGCACACACATACAGTATATATTTTGAAAATATTTACATGTATTTACATGTAGGCCTATATATTTGTCTTCATATAATTTATATTATATAAAAATGTATTTAATATATAAACATAACATATTTTTCTTAAATATATACATGCATGTATTTGTATTTATATATATATACATAATAAATACATACAGTACACGCACATATATTATGTGAACAAAAACTTTTATTTTGGATGCGATTAATCGTTTGACAGCA